AATACCTTCTGTTTTCGCTGTAATTATAGGCTATATTATTTGATACGGCAGTAGAATCAGTGGCAGACTGTTATTTAAATTAGTATGTCTGAGAATCTAAGTTGTATTTTTCTTTTCATGATCTGACAGTAGGAAGTTCTGTTTTAGCAATTAAAAATAAAAACACAAGCCCAGTGTGGTAGTACATACCTGCAATTCCAGCACCTGAGAGGCCAAGGCAGGGAGTTTACCATAAATTTGAAGCCAGCTTGGATTGCACAGACCCTATCTCAAAATAATAATAAACAAATATATTAGATATTTTTAAAAAATAAATGTAAGTTCCTCAAAGACGGAGACTTTGTCTGTATTCCCGGCACCTGTACCTGACACATTAGAGCTCAGTAAATCATTGTTGGATGATCTTTCTCCGCTGAAAAACAATAAATCAGAGGGAGTCTTGCCAACTAATTCTGATTTTATGAATTCATTAGCCTTTCTTTAGGACCTTGGGAATTACAAGATGGGAAAAACAATGTAGACTTTGTCCTTTTTAGTTAATACCTGTAATTAGTTGTCAAAAATATTAACTTAGTGAGACTAGAAAAGTATGGAGGGCTGAGAATATAATGGTAGAACACTTGCCTAGCAGGCTCAACGCCCAAGGTTCGGTCTCTAGTACCACAAAAATAAGTACATAAATACCATAAAAATAAATAGGACAAAAATAAATAAGAAAAGTGCCAATTGTGGAGGCACATCCCAGCATTCCAGAGGCAGAGGCAGGTAGATCAGATCTCAGTGAGTTCTAAGCTGGTCCTATACAGTGACACCCTGTCTTTAAAAAAAAAAAGTTATTAACAAAAAAGCAACCGACCACATCCACATGACACATGTTCATTACGTCATAGAATACGCCAGGTAGTAGTGGCACACACCTTTAATCCCAGCACATGGGAGGCAGAGGCAGGTTTAGCTCTGTGGTGTAGAGAGAAAGTTCCAGGACAAAAAGCTACAGAGAAAAACCATCTCAAAAAGACAAAAGAAGGGGGCTGGAGAGATGGCTCAGTGGTTAAGAGCATTGCCTGCTCTCCCCAAGGTCCTGAGTTCAATTCCCAGCAACCACATGGTGGCTCACAACCATCTATAATTGGGTCTGGTGCCCTCTTCTGGCCTGCAGGTATACACACAGACAGAATATTGTGTACATAATAAATAAATAAATAAATAAATAAATATTAAAAAAAAAAGACAAAAGAAAAGTCATAGGATAACTACTTTCTCTAAACAAATGTAGCAGTTGAGCTACTCTGCCTTCTGGCTGCCCCAACAGATAAAACTGTGGTTACTGGTACTGTGACACAGCAGAAAAATCAATCCACTTTCCTAGTCATGTTAATTTACATACTGTACTCTTATTGGTTAAATTTCAAAAGTCATACTTTTTAATTGAAATATAATGTAATTGCAGTCACCAAATACAAAGTCATCTTAACACAAAATTAGCCATCAAAAAGTTGAAGTAAACAAAACACATTTAACAATTAGTGTATTTACATTAAATACCAAATTAAACACACCGGCCAGCAGTCATTTCTGATGTCTTTGAAACCAGCTATGGAGCTGAGACTGGCCTTTAACTAACTCCTGATCCTCTGATCTCGATCTTCCAAGTCCTAGGATTACAGGTTTGTGTCACCACAGCTGGCCAGTATTATACCTGCCTTAAAATATATACATTGACCAAGTATGGTGGCACCCACCATTAATTCCAGCACTTCAGAGCAGATGGATCTCCATTAGTTTGAGTCCAGACTGGCCTACACAGTTCCAGACCAGCCAAGGCTACATAGATTATCTCAAGAAACCAAAAGAAATAATATACACATTGGACATCAGAACTGGAAACTAAAGACCCTGTGATTTTTAAACCTTTAGACTTAACAACTGAATGATCTGCTTGAAAATTTCAAACCATTCCAGTTCTCAGCAGACTACTAAGCCTTAATGTAACCATATTTTTATTAGATTATATGCTTGAAGATTTCATTTCTCACAGATTTTCTTTCTTTCTTCTTTTTTTTTTTTTTTTTTTTTTTTTTGGTTTTTCGAGACAGGGTTTCTCTGTGGTTTTGGAGCCTGTCCCGGAACTAGCTCTTGTAGACCAGGCTGGTCTCGAACTCACAGAGATCTGCCTGCCTCTGCCTCCCAAGTGCTGGGATTAAAGGCGTGTGCCACCAAGATTTTCTTGATTCTCTTTCCCATAGTTGTGGCTGCCTTCTCTGGTCCCTTCCTGTTTCTCCAGTTTACATCCCACACTACATACATATATATATATATATATATATATATATATATATATATATATATATCTCGAAGGAGTAGGAGGAATGGCTCGAATGGTGAAGAGCACTTGTTAGTCCTGCAGAGGACCCAGGTTCGATTCCCAATACCCACATAGTCATTTATAAACATCCATGACTCAGTGCCAGGAGAGCAAATGTTCTTCTAATCCATTCAGGCACTACGCATGCTTGTGGTATACATACAGGCAAAAGATACGTGCATACAGGCAAAACACACATAAGTAAGAAAGGAATAAATTTAATAAAAAGAAAACTTAAAAAAGATATATTGAAAATCTGTATTTTCTAGTCATGGTGGTACATACTTTTGATTCGAACTCTCAGGAAGCAAAGGATGGCGGATCTCTATGAATTTGAGGACAGCCTGGTCTACAGATTGAGTTCCAGATCAGCACACATAGTGAGATTCCCAATTAAATGAAATAAAGGAAGTGGAATAAAAAATGGCTTAGTGATTCAGAGCACTTGCTTCTCTTCCAGAGGTCCCAGGTTCAATTCCTAGCACTCATATATGGCAGCTCACAACTATTTGTAACTCCAGTCCCAAGGTATCTAACCCCCTTTTCTGGCCTCTGTGAGCTATGCACACCTGTGATGTACATAGATGTAGACAAAATATACACACATACAAAATTTTTAAATGACAATTCATAAATATCTTAATGTAAACATCATGTAACACAAAAATTTTACAATTATATATTCATACAAACAATCACAAATACAATGGAATGATATATAGAAAGTAAAAAATCCCACCCTCCATTTTCCAGTGTCAAAACTACCGACAGGTTAGGTGTGGTGGCTCATGCCTGAAATCCCAGTGCTGAGGCTGAGGTACAAGTACCACAGTGAGCTCCAGACAAAATGAAATCCTGTGAACAAGGTCTTTAAAAATACTGACATAAGTTCCAGTAAGTCACAAGACTTTGTTTCACTTTTTTTTTCTTGAGGGTCTCTCGACACAGCCCTTGCTGTCCTGAAACTCAACATGCATATCAGTCTGGCCTGGAACTCACAGAGATCCAGAGATCTGCCTGTCTCTGCCTCCCATGCTCTGTGATTAAAGCCTTTCACTACTTCTGTTAGTTTGTTTTACACAATGTCCGAATGTATTACACATCCAGGTACAGTAGCAAGAATCTTCCTCAAAAGAAAAAAAAATAAACTTTAATTTCTCTCATAGAGGATTGAAACTTTATAATAAAATATGATTAAGACTGGATTACTGAAAAAAGAAACCACGTCCCCAGCACCTGCGAGTGGAGCGCGCAGTGTCTAGCTCTCAGCCAGGTCCGTGGACGCCTCCACCTCGGAGCCAGAGTCCCGGCCAGGGCTGGGGCAGGAACCCCGGCTGGGATCCGGCTGGAATCAGAGCCGGACCAGTTCTGTTCCGAGCACAGAGAACCTCTGAGCGGGTTCTGCCTCTTCAAGAGATGGCTGGTATGCGGTATGCGCCGCCTGCGTCAGGTTGGGCAGCTGCTGTGATGGGCACCGCATCCACTGAGGAGCTGCGAAACAAGATTGTGGACCAATGTTAGAGGCCGCAGTTACAGAGCGCTGGCATCACCAAGAATGTGGTGGAGGTCCTGCAAGGGAAGAACCAGAAGCAGTGAGCATGGCTAGTGCAGCGAGGGAGCTGGTTATCCAGAGGTTGAGCCTGGTGAGGAACCTGTGTGAGCCTGAGGAACAGTGATTGCTGGAGCAAGTGCTCAGGGAAGAGGAGCGAGCTCACCAGAGTATCCTGACTCAGCGGGCACATTGGACTGAGGCATTGAAAAAGCTGGACACCCTCCATACCAGCCTGGTGGGCATGCTCACCCATCTGGATGACCTCCAGCGTATTCAGAAGGTACACGAGATTGTTGAGAGAGCTGAGGAAGCAGAGGGCATTTTGGATCCCCAGGAGTCGGACAAATTAAGCTTTAACGAGAAGAGTGCTTGGAGCCCACTACTGACTCAGCTCTGGGCAACATCGGGTCTCGGGTCTCTCTCAGGCATGGAGGAGGTGCATGTCAATGAAAGGACTGTCAACCCCTTGTTGCATTTGTCTGAAGATCGAAGGACCCTGACCTTCAGTGCCAAGAGGTCCAATGCCTGCTCAGACGACCCAGAGCTCTTTGACCTCTGGCCTAAGGCCTTGGCAGCCACCACCTTCCGGCCGGACTCCATGCCTGGATAGTGAATGTTCAACACAGTTGTGCTTATAAAGTGGGTGTAGCCTCGGCCCAGCTGCCTTGAAAGGGTTCTGGTAGGAACTGCCGCCTGGACCACAATGCCTTCTCCTGGGTCTTCTCCCGTTATGATCAAGAGTTCCATTTCTCACACAATGGGCAGCATGAGCCTCTGGTGTTGTTTCGGTACCCAGCACAACTGGGCGTGCTGCCGGACCTCCAAGCAGGAGAGCTGGTCTTCTGTGAGCCTGCCTCAGGGACGGTGCTTCACATCCACCGCACGTCTTTCCCTCGACCGCTGCTCCCAGTCTTTGCTGAGGCTGACCAGCTCATCTCCATCTTCACCAGTGGCCACAGTGAGGCCAGATCCACGCCCCCCATCACCCTTGTAGGCCAGGCCATGCTTCCAGCTAGTGTCCTATCCCCCAGCCCCCATGTGGTCTTCCCCATGGGCAATTTTTAAAGAGATGGAATCTGCTTCAAAAAAAAAAAAAAAAAAAAAGGACTGGATTGCTGAGAGCACATTTCCTTCACATTTATTCTCCTCCACTAAAATAATGCTGTTCAAATATATAGACTACAAATTCATCACCAAAACTTTGTGGTTTTACCTTGTAAATCAAGTAGATAGATAACTAAGCAGTTGGTAAACATATAAATACCAAGCACAACTAAAGTCCAGGAGGCACCACTGTGCAGTGTATCCACTGTCAGGTTAATGAGACCAGTTGTTACATTTGACAGTAAGAAAAAAAAGAGCTGGTTTCTGTTCAGAGCTGTGATTAAACAAAGACTGGGCTCTTTTTTCCCAGCTTCTAGGATTAGAGGTTTGGAATGTTTTTTATTTGTAGCAGGCAACTGTGTAAGTTTCCAAGAACATGGTACGTGAGCCCCTTTAATTAGAAATTTGGCAAAACTCAAAATTATATCACTCAGTAACAGACAGCTAAGAAGCATCAGGCTAGAAGCAACCACCCACACACAAAAGGCTAAATTGGCCATTCTACGAGATACGGCTTCTACATTCACTTGAACTATATAAAGAGAAATGAAAAAGCTAACAGCCACTAAGAGAATACAACAAGTCCCTTTTATCCAGTCTCTGATGTGTGTTCTATTCTTAAGCACATACAACCCTGTTTGCACGCCAGCCATGTAGATTGCCACATACCCCAGAGAGGAAATTATGCCTTCCCGGTTGGCATTGAGTAAACCACCTCTCGCGCCACTACCATCAGTGCCATACAAAATTACCCTCTTGAGTGGAGTAAAGTCAAGAGCTAGCTGGTATAACACAGTAATGCTAACAGCCACAATCCAGGACTTATTCAAAGGAAAAATAATCAAAAGAAGTGATGTTACTAATTTCACAACTACGATAGTAAAGAAAAAATTCCAGTGAACACCATACTCAGTTAAATGTTCCTGATAGCCTATGGATTTTAAAATGACTAACCGTCCCATTCCTAAGACAACTAAGGGCCAGACAGAATACAGAGATTTTCTAAGATAATTAAATCTGGACCCTTCTACATGTTTCCCTCTAATCTCTGGACAAACCATGGCAGCCCCAAAAATAAAGCCACCTACTCCATAATCCATTGCCCCTGTCCCATAAAGCTCGGTTTTGGCAAATCTTCTAGGGAACAGTGGGAAATCCACAGCCAAAATGGCAATAGCAGTAAACACACTATTAATGACCCGGTAATAAGTGACGGCTGGACTGTACTCTGATTCTAGGCTGATTTGCAAGAAGTTTGCAAAGACTTTCTGAGCAGGCACTTTGGCGTGGCAAGTCCTCCTCTGGTATATCTGATACAACAGCCATGCCCCACAGGCAATTGCAGTGAGATTCTCAAGTAGGATAAACGGAGACAGCAGAGTCAAAGTGATCACCAAGGGGACTACAAGGACAACAAAGTCCATGAAGAAGCGTGTGATCCAGCTGTGTGAGAAAGAACACACGTGCTGTGAGAAAATGATCAAAAGGCCCCGACACAGGATACAGAATGCAGGGAAGCACAAGCCCTGAGTTACTTCTAGCACGCTGGTCCCGTTGAGGTTACTGACAAAAGCTTCCTTCATCTGCTTTTGAGACATTTTGTTTCTTCCTGTGAAAATGATACAAAAGAATGGATTTGAGGGAAACAATATTGCTGTAAAGTCAGTAAATATTTCTTGGCTTCAGAACATAAGTTTAGGGGATGGAGAGATGGCTCAACAGGTAACTGGCTGCTATTCTAGAGGTTCCAGGTTCAATTCCCAGCACACACATGGCAGCTCACAACTGTCTGTAACTCTATTTCCAGATCTGACACCCTCACACGTACATACATGTGGGCAGAACAGGAGTTTATGCCCACCAGGTGATGATGGCCCACCTTTAGTCCTAGCACTCAGGAGGCAGAGGCAGGTGGATCTCTGAGTTTGGGGCCAGCCTGGTCTACAAGAGCTAGTTTCAGGATAGGCTCCAAAGCTACAGAGAAACCCGGTCTAGAAAAATAAAACAAAAAAGAAAGAAGAGTATGAAATCTCTGGTACAAAATTGTATCTTCACTATAAGGCAAACTTAAAACGAAAGTCTGGCTCAGTGGTTAAGAGCACTGTCTGCTCTTCCAGAGGTCCTGAGTTCAATTCCCAGCAACCACATGGTGGCTCCAAACCATCTGTAAAGAGATCTGGCGCCCTCCTCTGGCGTGTGGAGGCAGAAAGTTGTATACATAATAAACAAATCTTAAAAAAAAAAAAAGAAAGTCCATTTGGAAGCTGGGTGTGGTGAAGCATCACTTAAAGACACAAGATGGTTCTTGCTTACATCCTGAGTTCCCAGCCAACTTGGCTACCTGAAACCCTGTCTTTTCCTAAAACAAGGTCTCACTGTGTAGCCTAGAACTCAAGGGGTCCACCTACCTCTGCCCCACCCCCTCACAAATGCTAAAAGGTGTGTGCTACACACACTCAGCCAGACCTGGTCCTTAAGAAAGTAAATCTGGCCGGGTGGCAGTGGTGCACGCCTTTAATCCCAGCACTCGGGAGGCAGATCTCTGTGAGTTCAAAGCCAGCCTAGCCTGGTCTACAAGAGCTAGTTCCAGGACAGGCTTTGGAGCTACAGAGAAACCCTGTCAGAAAGAAAAGAAAAGAAAAGAAAAGAAAGAAAGAAAGAGGGAGAGGGAGAGAGGAGAGAGGAGAGGAGAGAGAGAGAGAGAGAGAGGAGAGAGAAAGCAAAGAAAGAAAGAAAGAAAGAAAGAAAGAAAATCTGGGATATGAATCCCAAATGGCATCAGTCATAAATTTCTTTTTTTAAAAAGAGATTGTTTACAGTGTTCTGCCTGCATGTATCCCTGAAGGCCAGAAGAGGGCACCAGATCTCATTGTAGATAATTGTGAGTGACTATGTGGTTGCTGGGAATTGAACTCAGGACCTCTGGAAAGAACAGCCAGTGCTCTGAATCTCTGAGCCAATTGCAAAGCATAACATTCTCTCCCCCTCTCTTTATATATATATATATATATATATATATATATATATATATATATATATCCACATACATACATATATGTTTACATATAAAGTAATTTTAGCTATAATTATATGCACATCGTGATATATACTGATATGTTATGAAAATCTTCAAGAAAGCTACATATGCATTGCTATGGACTTTAAACTTCAGGAAGGAAGAGAGAGAAAAACTGTTCAGTGTATTTTAGAGTCAGGGTCCTGGCACCTAGAGGTGAACGCATGAGAGCCACGTTCTTTTCCTCGTATACACACGGCCATATTTTCAGATTAAGGGGCAGGTGGACAGAATGGATGGGATGCAGTGTACACGCCAGAGCTCGTGGTTTCTTTTTCCGCAGCCTAAATTCTCCTCTGTCACATACTGAAAAGTTGCACACTGAGGGCACACACCCGTCGGTCAGATACAAAGCACAGTGTGCACTGCCCCTGAGGTGGTCCACGCGGGTCTACTTGGGCCCGGCATCGGCATCTCACCGTAAGTGGCCCTGCTCTTTTGGCCTTTCCCAGACGGATCTCGTCACAGCCCCGCCCCGTCCGGGACCGAGGGTCTTAGGCGTTGACAGAACAGGCTCCCACCGCACCAGCCTGCTCCCTCCGCTTCCGCCTCGCGGGCAACGCTTCCGGCTCGGCGCGGCACAGCCTGTTCTTCCGGGCCCGCAGATTCCGCGCGCCCCCGCCCGGGATGGCGACGGTCCCCGCCCCGCCGGCTCCCCACGCCCTTCGGTGTGTTGAGCTGGATTCGTTCCGATCCTCTCGAGACCCAGCCGTGTGGCGGTCCGAGAAGGCCGCGTCAGACTCGGCCACGGCGACCTGCCCTAGACCGGCTCCCGGGCCCCCAGAAGCCACGCTCACCCACACCGAACTCGGGAGGCCACAGAAACGCCACACCTTACCCCAGGGTCTGAAAAGACCTCGCCTCACCCGCAGCCCGCCGGCTAGAGCCTGCGGTCCGGGACGGACCACGTGCGCCCGGCGCCGCGTGTGCACGCCCCGCCCCCGGGGAGGAGCCGCCGGGCTCCGGGCCACTTAGCCGGGGCTGCTGCGGGCCGCGGGCGGACGAGCCCGAGTTGCGGGCTTTCTTTCCTTGGTGCTCCCGCTCTTTCTGCTTTCTTCCCTCCCCGGGCTCTTTCCACCGCCTCACCCTGCCCACCTTCCCGGTTGGGACTACACGCTGGGCGCCCAGACCGTGGGACCGGTGAGTGCCACTCCCCGCCTAGATCCGAAGCCCCTCACGGCCGGAGGGGTAAGGGAGGCCAGGGTGTGCCTCTCAGAGCTAACGCGTGAAGGAGGCACCTCACCTTCTAATTCAGTATTTCTCTTTCTACCCTCTTGGGAACTCAGGAGGAGGTAGCACAGCTTTTGCCCTAGACAAGGACCTTCACGGTCACTTTCCAGCTTGCCAGCAGGGGGCCACAAGGGGTTGTTTCTGGCTAATCGGGACTGGACTTCTGTCCCTTTCCTTGTCCTACCCAGGGACGGAGTGAGAGGCGTAAGGAAAGTGCGCCCTTGACAAGGGTCATATCCACCTTCCCGGAAGGACGTATTCTCTCAGTGCCAGGTGCTTCGAGTGGCATCCCAGCCCTGGGCACCGCTGGCGCGTTGCCAATGCTTTAAGTGCTGGTTCCCGCCAGGAATCTGGAGCAAAGAGGGAAGGACCCCCAAGACCCTAACCCATCTATTTCCCTCATAGTCTTCCGACTGTCCTTCCTGCCCGAAGAGAAACTAACTGAAGCAGGGGCGGAGGAGGAGGGGGTTGTGATCGGGTTGCCACTTGCTTGGACTTGGACTGGTCTTTTACCTATTCATTACTCCCTTCTGTCTACTGTGGTCACGCCCTTCCCAGAAATTCTTGGTGGTAACCGCGAGAGAGGAGAGAGCCGGGAGAACTGGAGGAAACTGCTCTGATCTGACTTGGCTTCAGCCGGGAGCTGACGCTGCACCGTAATAAGCAGCCTTTCCTAAGCTCTCTCACAGGTACTTAACAACACGGGCCATAATTTTACACTCTGTGGTATGGTAGTATACCATTGGCAATTGTGTGAAAACGAGAGTTAGAGAGCTCCTGCGCCGTGTTCTAGGAGGGTTGTGAGCTTTGGATTCTAACGACGCTGTTGTGGTCTCCTGGTTGGCCTTCCAGCTGAGTCTCCAGAGACCCTCTGGTGATGGAGTACAGTGTACAGAGTGACGGTGTCTAGCCCAGTCCTGATACCCTTTTCTGTTTGAATTTTCCTCTCCCTGTTTCCAATGGAAGTCCCTGGACCTGATTCTTTAAAGGCTAGGTGTGGTCAGAGCCTCAAAACGTCTGTAGCAGGGTTAATCCATCAACCCATATTCGATGTCCCTCATCCTCAGCCCTCTTTCTAGGCAGGGATTGAGGTCTGGGAATGCCCAAGTCTGAGTGAGGCTTGCCATTTTTCAGATCCTGCCCTCAGGCTGCTCCTCCTTTTAGGTGGGTTCTTCTCTCCTGCTCTCACCTCGATTGTTTGAGACAAGGTCTTACTTACAGTGTAGCCCAGACAGGCCTCGAACTGAGATCTTCCTGCCTCAGCCTCCTGAGTGTTCCCAATCTCAATCACACCTTTTGGGCAGTGGACCTTCCATGCCTGATCAGTGACCCCAAATGGGTTATCAACTCTTTAGGTAATGCTAATATTCATACTCAGTGATAATCAGATTTGTACTGTGCTTTCAAATCTTGACCTCATTGACCTTCACAAACTTTCGAAGTAAAATAGATTAACTATCCCTATTTTCAAGGTGAGGATTTGGGGTGATAGGGTTGCTCTGGGGTCACATACTCATCCAGTGACTGAACTATGATTCCCTTCTCATACAAGAGCTTCCCAGAGGGCTGGAGAGATGGCTCAGTGGTTAAGAGCATTGCCTGCTCTTCCAAAGGTCCTGAGTTCAATTCCCAGCAACCACATGGTGGCTCACAACCATCTGTAAAGAGGTCTGGCGCCCTCTTCTGGCTTTCAGGCATACAGACAGAATATTGTATACATAATAAATAAATAAATATTAAAAAAAAAAAAAAAGAGCTTCCCAGAAGCATAGAGTTGACTCCAGGCACATTCTCCACCAGCTGATGACTACATTTACATGTTTACATAAGGTATTTCTGTCTAGTGGTGATGATAGAGCCAAGGTTATTTCTCCCCAGTGTCTTCATTCTTCACGACGTACTGAACCAGAAGATTTTGCAACACTAGCCCATCACTTACTTTCCTTAAAACTGCCCCTGGCCTTTTTCTGTAAGGGAAACGCCAGAAGGCATCCCAGGTCATCTCTGGAGGCTCTCATCAAAGTTTCCTAACTTCTTGATTAGCAAGGGAAAGCACAGACTCTCACTCTCTGCCCAGGCCTGCCCGATTCTCATTTGGGCGCCTCCTGCTTGGTAGGAGGAGTAGGAGTGAGTCACCCCAGAGAAGCCATCACCTGTGTGGCCCTTGTCTTCCGTCTCACGCTACAGGTTCCAAGAAGACTTGGCTGAGATTCCGACACACCTGAGTCTGCTGGAATGATGACCTCATGACCAGGTTGATAGACAGTACTGCTTGTGTCTGTGACACAACTCTGGCTGCCCACGCTAAAGCACGATGCTCCGGCAGGTAAACCCTCAACTGATGCCATCAAGCAGCAGAGACACTTTCCTGTGTGCCTATTTGCAAGAAAGATTGCAGTGTTCGTTGCTGGAAGGACAGGAAAGACCCCTTCAGATAGTCATTCCAGCACTCTTCCTGACACGCCTGACTTGAGTGTCTCTCTTTTTGTGGCTTTGTGTTCTTTTCCTTGGAGTGCAGAAGGTAGGCTAGGTAAAGGAATTCAGGTCACTTTGATGACCTTAAGTGGGGCTTATCCTGGTAGAAGTCCTTGCCAGGGTGTTTTATTGAATCACAGTGGAAATTTGGGGCTTCCAAGAATGTTCATTGAAGCTAAGCCTTTAAGAATAATAAACAAGGCCGGGCGGTGGTGGTGCACGCCTTTAATCCCAGCACTTGGGAGGCAGAGGCAGGTGGATCTCTGTGAGTTCGAGACCAGCCTGGTCTACAGAGTTAGTTCCAGGACAGGCTCCAAAGCCACAGAGAAACCCTGTCTCCAAAAACCAAAAAAAAAAAAAAAAAAAGAATAATAAACAATTAGCCAAGTTAGCTGGGCGTGGTGGCCCACACCTTTAGTCCTAGCAGTTGGGAGGGCAAATCGTTGGAGTTCAAGGCCAGCCTGGTTTGCCTACTGAGTTCTAGGACTGCTGGGGCTGTTGCAAGAGAGAAACCCTGTCACAAAACAAAACAAACAAACAAAAGAGCCAATTGGAGAAGGAACATTTGCAGTCCCAACAAAAGACGTCTGCCTGTGCAGAAATACAAGGGAAGGCAGCTTACGTGGGAGTCCAGCATTCTACCTCTGAAAAGGCTAGTATCCTTGGCCTGCACCCTTCTCTGTGGAACTCTTCCTCATACACATAGCATCCTTTATAAGTAGCGCAGATACAGAGAGCAAAAATTTGCTGGAATTTGATTTTCCTAAATTCTGTCCCACTATAAGGGCTCAGGGAGTTTGTGCTCTAGCCAGGATAACCAAAGTAGGACTGAAGAAAGCCATGACAGATGCAACTAGACTACCCTGCTATTTTCTAGGAAATGGACTTGAAGGCTACAGAAAAACAGGCAGGACAATTGTCTGCTCTGGGTTGTTGTATTTTCCTTCCTTCCTTCCTTCCTTCCTTCCTTTCTTGCTTCTAGTCCTTGTTATATAGTAGGCACTATACTTGAATATTTTGTTTCATCTTCACAGTGCAGTGAAAAAAATATACTAGTGTGTACTATACAGTGCTGTTCTGTGCCCATGCTGGAGATCAGACTCAGACAAGTTAATTGGCTGACTCAAGGTCACATTCATTATCAGGAATTTGGAAAAATAAAGAAAGGCAATCAAAAGTGATATTGAAGTTATCTAGTACTACTATTTGAACACACCATTTTAAAAAAAAATGTTTAGACTTTTCTGTCCTAATTTTTTTTCTATTCTTTTCTCTTTTTTGGTTTTTCAAGACAGGGTTTCTCTGTGTAGCTCTGGCTATCCTGAAACTAACTCTGTAGACCAGGCTGGCCCCAAATACAGACTCACCTGCCTCTGCCTCCTGAGTGCTGGGATTAAAGGCACACATTATCACACCCTAGCTCTTGGGTTTTTTTGTTTGTTTGTTGAGGACTTTCTGAGTAGCCCTCGCGAGGCTTGAATTCGTGGAAGTTCCCCACTTCTCCTGAGTGCTGGGATTACAGATGTGTACCACCATACCCAGCAATAACTACTTTTTTGGGAGGATATTTTACATGCCTTCCTAAACCCTGATGAATGTATGTATGTATGTATGTATGTATGAATACCTAAGAGGTAGGCACAATCACTATTCCCATTTTAGTGTTAGGAAAATTGAGATAAAAAGAGATTTAAAAACTTAAATTGTACAAGAATAATGGTGGAGTCAGGATCCAGACCTGGGTAGCCTAGACTCCATTTCCACTCTATTGAACTGGGGTCTCACCTGTGCTAGGCAAACACCCACTAAACCATATCTCCTACCCTTTACTTTTTATTTTGAGAGCAGAGTCTTAAATTGGCGAGGCTGGCCTTGCACCTAACAATTCTCCTGCCTCAGGAAAGAGTCCTTCTACCAGGCTCAGTACAATCTAACTTTCTTTGTTGTTGTTTTGTTTGCTTTTCAAGACAGGGTTTCTCTGTATAGCCCTGGTTGTCCTGGAACTAACTCTGTAGACCAGGCTAGTCTTGAACTCACAGAGATTCACCCGCCCCTGCCTGAGTGTTGGGATTAAAGTCGTGCACCACCACCACCCAGCATAATCTAGCTTTCTAATCCAAGCTCTTGGTACTATACTCAACTCCTGGTTGAATCAAAACTGTTCCTGAATTGCAGCTGGTTTTGTAAGTAGTCCTTTCCTTTCTCCTCCTCCTCCCCCTTTCCCTTCTCTTTCCTTTCTTTTTCCCTCAGTCCTTGTTCTTCCATAGATTCAGCTATAGGCTGTAGCAATTGCCCTCAAGAACAAGAGCCTTCTGTGTACATTATGATGAGCCTGAGACTCAGTCTTTTAGAGAAACTCATTACTATGCTGCTACCTTGGCTTGTTCCTGAGGGGTGTGAGCATTGAGGGTTCACTAATCTCATTAGAAACACAGCCATACCAAGACTTCTAAGCTGGTTCCAACCAGGCGCCTTTCTTCTCTTCCCTCTCCGTCCTGTGCTGTACAGACAGCAGCTCTGTGAGACTGGTAGCCTGTAGCCTAAAAGTTGCCTTAGCTGGAGCTCACAGCATTGATTATTAATATGTACTGTCAAGGCCTTGACTAAGTGCTCTGTGTGTTTCTTTTTTCCTTTAACCTTGGAGTTGAGTTTATCACTCCCCCCCCCCCAAAACAAAACAAAACAAAATAAAAAACCATGGCTCATAGAGGTGAATGACCAAGGCTGTCACGCTAATAAGTAGCAGAGCTGAAACATGAGCCACCTGGATCTTGTAGAAACCTGTTCTTTCTCCTGTGCGGGCTTCGCCCTTATTAGCTGTCAACTGGTCTGGGACCCAGGTCTCATGGCTCTTGTGTTGTTCCCAGGTGAATGGTCACAGTTCAGGCTCTGATGCCCAAGGTAGGGCATCCCTCAAGGGAGATCTCCAGGAGTTCCTGGGTGGGGAGGCCCCACTCCATCAGCTGGATGACCTCACCAAGGTGAATCCTGTGACACTGGAAACAGGTATGGGCCTTCCTCCTCCAGACTGCTGCTCCAAAGAACAGGGATGTAGCGAGGGTCTGCAGCACTGTTCCCCAGCTCACACCAAGCACTGATACTCCTGACCTGGCCCCTGCCCCAGGGAACCTGGCACTGCACCTGGGCTCCCCAGGGCAGGCTTTGCTCTAGGTTTGGGACTCGTCTTAATTAGATCTTATATCTATTCATCAGGGAGCTACAGGGTTCTAATGGCACTTAGCTAATTACAGAGGGAGGGCTGCTTCGCAGATGTGTGTCTGGCGTTCTGTCTGCATTTGAGCCAGACTTTGCTTACAGCATCTTTTCCTCAGTCCTGAGGTGCCTGCAGGCCCGGTATACAGAAGACATATTCTATACCAATGCTGGCTGCACCCTGGTAGCTCTGAACCCCTTCAAGCCCATCCCTGAACTCTACGCACCAGAGCTGATGCTAGAGTACCATGCTGCATCTCAGCCTCAGGTAAGACTCCTGCCTACTGGTGCCGTGTCCCTGCCCAGCAGGAACTCTCAGAAACTGAACACATAACTAAGGTACATTGTGGATGATAAATATTAAACTGAGATTGAAACCTAAAATAGAAATATAAAACAAAGGTGTTGTTGTTGTTATGAGAAAGATTTAGAGGTAGGAAACTCCATTAAGAAAATGCCTTCAACCGGTCAGTGGTGGCACACACCTTTAGTCCCAGTACTTGGGAGGCAGAGGCAGGTGAATCTCAGTAAATTCAAGGTCAGCCTGGTCTACAAAGTGAGTTCCAGGACAGTCATGCCTGTTATACAAAGAAACCCTGTTTCAAAAAACCAAAAACGAAAGAAAAAGAAAATCCCTCCATGGGTTGGGGAGATGGCTCAGAGGTTAAGAGTGCTGTCTGTTCTTCCAGAGATCTTGAGTTTAATTCCCAGCACGACATGGTGGCTCACAGCCATCTATAATAGGATCTAATGTCCTCCTCTAGCATGCAGGTGTACATGCAGAACAGTCATACATTAAATATAAATAAATAAAATAAAAATCAAGATTGCATTGTGGGCAAACCTATAGGGCATTGTAGGGTATTTTCTTAACTAGTGATTGATGTGGGCGGGACTAAAACATTGTGGGTGATCCTGGTTGCTATAAGAAAGCAGCGTGAGCAAGCTAGTAAGTAGCACTCCTCAAGGACCTCTGCATCAGCTTTTGCCTTGGGGTTCTTGCCCTCTTTTTTTTTTTTAATATTATTTATTTATTATGTATGCAATATTCTGTCTGTGTGTATGCCTGCAGGCCAGAAGAGGGCACCAGACCTCATTACAGATGGTTGTGAGCCACCATGTGGTTGCTGGGAATTGAACTCAGGACGTTTGGAAGAGCAGGCAATGCTCTTAACCACTGAGCCATCTCTCCAGCCCCTTGCCCTCCTTAAGTTCCTATTCTGACTGCCCTCTGTGATGAACTGTGATGTAGAAGGAAGCAAGTAAACCCTTTCCTCCCCAAGTTATTTTTTGTCGTTGTGTTTTGTCACAGCAATAGAAACCTTAACTAATACAAGCAGTAACTTAAGAAGAAATTTTCCTCCAAATTATAAAGTACATAAAATAAGCAGCAGAATCAGACTATTAAAGAAAAATGTAGAGGCAGCTTAGTTGGTCAAGTGCTCACGTAATATACATAGATATCAGTTCCAGCCCCAGAACTGCATAAGCCAGGTGTAGTGGAACTTGGGAGGTAGAGTCAAAAGGAACAGAAGTTCATTATCCTCAGCTATCCATAGCAAGTTCTAAACCAGCCTGGGCTGCGGGAAAGCCTGTCGGGGGCAGGGGAGATAAGAGCCTTGAAGGAGGCTAGAGAAATAGTTCAGTGGTAAAGAGCACTTTCTGTTCTTCCAGAAAACCAGGAAACAATTCCTAGCACCAACATGTTGGCCCAGAGCCATCTTTCACTCCAGTCCCAGGGAATCTGATGCCCTATTCTGGCCTCCAAGGGCACTACACACCTGGCATAGACATGCATGCAAGCAAAACACCCATCCACATAAGATAATTTTTTTAACTTAAAGAAATGAAATCAGATGAGAGCATAAAGTATTAAAGTCATAGAGTGCTGGAAGGCAGCTGCATCCGTGCTGAGAGAACCTAACCTTGGTGGATGAATCAACCACAGGAGTTTTGGGTTTTTTGGAGGAAACATGCTAGCATTGCTCCTGGTAGCTTCCTGGTGTAATTTGTCATTGGATCAGCCAGTCTTGAAAACATGGCTCACATGACCATCCACTCTTTGATATTTCAGAAATTGAAACCCCACATCTTCACAGTGGGTGAGCAGACCTACAGGAATGTCAAGAGCCTGATTGAGCCAATCAACCAGTCCATCGTGGTCAGTGGAGAGAGTGGAGCTGGAAAGGTAGAAGTGCCAGTTTCTTATCCTGTCCCTTATACCTGGCCAGGTGAGCGCAAAGGTGAGGACCATTGTCTGTGTCATCAGTGGCTGTCACAGGCCGGCTGCCGGAACCAGGTCAACCAGCACCACACCAGACGTCAGAAGCAGCCTCCACTGCTGGCTCTGCCGCCACCCTGGGGAGACACTCCTCCCCTTGCACCTTTATTTTCTCATTGGAGGTGCTTCTGGGGGTCCCTAGAAACAGCAGTCAGATGTTGGGGAACCCAGCATGAGGTACATCAGGTAGATTATCTCTGAAAGACTACTAACATTACAGGCATCAGTCATTTCACTTCTGAAATGGAAGGTAATAGAGGGCCAGCACCTGCATGGGACTTGTTTGTGAACATAAAGGAGCCTGTGTTGTTTGACATGATGACACACATCTGTAATCCCAGGATTTAGAAGGCAAAGGCGATGTAGGAGGATCACAAGCCAGCCTGGACTACATAGTGAAACTCTTATCTATAAATAAATGAAGTAAACATAATACAAAACAGGAGCCAGTACACATAAGGCATTTGGTGGCATGTTTGGCACATGGTAGCGCTCCTCCAAAAGTAGCTGGTTTTTCAGGTTCTTGCCCTGATTTCTTTTTATTATGGACTGTGATGAGGACTTATCAGCCAAATAAACCCTCTTGCTTTTGGCTTTAAAAAAAAAAAAAAGTAGCTGGTTTTACTGTGGGAAAAAGATTAGAAGAGACCAAAGCCTACTGGAGGTGAAGCTGGAGAAACAGCTCAGCTGTTTAAGGGCACTGTTGCAGCCGGGCAGTGGTGGCGCATGCCTTTAATCTCAGCACTCGAGAGGCAGAGGTAGGCGGATTTCTGTGAGTTCGAGGCCCCAAAGCTACAGAAAAACCCTGTCTCGAAAAACCAAAAAAAAAAAAAAGCACTTCTTGTACTGACAGAGGGTCAAGTTCAATTCCAGCAGCCATGCGATGGTTAATAATCATCTGAAACTGTTACAGAAGATCCGAAGCTCTCTTCTGACCTCTATGAATGCTACACCCATGTGATGCAGACATACACTCAGGCATACACCCATACACATGAAATAAAAAATAATAATAAATCTTGAAAATAGCTAAATCCCTATTGAAGTTGTCAGTGATAGCAAAGGCAGTGTATGAGAAGCCCCAGGTATAGCCAGAAGGCCTTACAGATAGCAAGACCTCAGCAGATGAGACAGGTATTACATAAACAAAGATTTCCACCACTCCCCAGCTGCCTCTCCCTTTCCACAGAACTGTCTGAGGGGTTCTTTGGACTGTAAGCCCCTTTGCCTACATTCACCTATCAAAGAGTTACTGAACATTAAGCACACCCTGGTCTCTAGACTGCAGACTAGGCATAGATGCTATGGGAAGGAGCATGGTGAGAAATGCAGTACACATTTTACCTTAGTCTCTAAACAAAGGAAGACAGTAAGTTAGAGAGGCCATAGCTCAGCAAAGTACCTGAAGACTCAGCTCCTGGACAAAGAATTGTTCACAAGAGTACTTGGGACTGAGGTAGAACCTGACTTAAGATCAACACATGTGCCTTAGTCCCAGCACTCAGGAGGCAGAGACAGGTGGATCTCTGTGAGTTTGAGGCCAGCCTGGTCTGCAGAGTCAGTACCAGGACAGGCTCCAAAGCTACAGGAAATCCTGTCTCAAAAAAAAAAAAAAGGGTTGATGCAAACAGCTCAATAACATTTCACCGAGTAGCCGTTATGGCCATTGACTAGGCCTGCCTTTTGGTTTTATTTTTTCTTTAACATTTAATTAGTTAGTTGTGGGTGGAGCAGCACTATACAATACACATGTAGAGGTCAGAGGACAACCCTTGGGAACCAATTCTCTCTTCCACCATGTGGATCCTAGGGGTAGAACTCAGATCATCAGCTTTGGCAGTGAGAGCCTTTACCTGTTGAGCATCTTGTTGGCCTTTTGTTTTGTTTGTATTTTTTCTGTATGAGGAATTAAACCCAGAGCCCTGAATGTGCTGTGCAGGCTTGCTACCAATGAATTCTATTACATCCCCAGTTCTCATTTTATTTTTTAATTTTGAGGCAAGGTCTTGGTAAGTTGACCGAAATGGCTTTGAATTCACATAGTTCAGCCCTCTTCTGGCTTCCATGGGCAATAGACATACACATATTAAAATAAAATAAACTTTAAAAAGTACCTACTTCTCTGTGGACAGGATATAAAATTTATTAATTTGTTTGTTTATTTAGTGAGGGGGAAGCCTACTTCCAGGTATAGTCAGGAGGAGGGCCATTTCTTCTTCTGCCCCCATATTAATTGGGTGACATATTTCCATCCACAATACACCTTAAACAAAAAGGAAAACTAAGTTGCCTGGGTTCAGTCCCAACACTGGAAACTCAACTTCTTTGCATATTGGACTGAGAGTATGTCTGAGTGATAGACTGCTTGCCTGGCATTCACAAAGCCCTGAGTTCAATTCTTAGCACCACCAAAGTTAAATAACTAATCAAACCCCAAGTCAATAGTGAAAAATAATAAAATAGAAAACAGAATAATAGAAAAAAATGAGTGAATTCCAAGGACTTTTTTTTTTTTGTTTTTGAGGTGTGGGGATTGAGCTTCAGATCATATATATGCAAGGCACATATTCTACCACATTCCCAGCAAACTACTTTTGAAAAGTGGTTAAAATCTATACCCACATGGTGCACATACATATGTTTATACACATAAAATTAGATAAACTAATCTTTAAAAAAAAAAAAGATTAAATTTGGTAATATTCTTGCCAAGAAAGCACCAGACCTAGACAGCTTCACTTATAAATTCTACCAGACATTAAAAGTAAAAGCCTGGCAGTGGTGGCCTGCACCTTTAATCCCAGCACTTTGGAGAGAGGCAGATAGATCTCAGTGAGATCGAGGCTGGCCTGGTCTACAAAGTGAGTTCCAAGACAGCCAGGAGTGTTACACAGAGAAACCCTGTCTCAAAAAAACCAAAAAAGAAAGAAGAAGAAGAAGAAGAAGAAGAAGAAGAAGAAGAAGAAGAAGCAATGTTATAAATTCTCTGAGTCTACAGAAAACGGAAATGAGTGAGCACCTCCAACCTAATGGATTTGTTAGGAAGGGGTGGGCCGAGTATTTGGAATACAGCTGAGCTATAAAGTGATTACCTAACGAGCAGGAGGTGTAAATGAACTGTGTATTGTGGTCCACACCTATATCCTAGCCCTGGGGAGGTGGGAGCAGGGAGAGCAGAATTCAAGGTTTTCCTCCCCCTGCACTGTAAGTTCAAGGCCAGCCTGAACCACAGAGTGGGTTCCCTGACAGCCAGGGCTACACAGAGAAACTTTGTGTTGGGGGTGGAGATAGATGTAGCTGGACATGTAATGTCTTTTTTTTTTTTTTCAAGACAAGGTTTCTCTGTGTAATAGCTTTGACTGTCCTGGAACTTGTTCTGTAGACCAGGTTGGGATTAAAGGTGTGCACCACCATTGTCCACTGGGAAATGAGAAACAGGAAAACTTCTCTAAGCTCAAGGCCAGCCTGGTCTACAAAGAAAGTTCCAGGCTAGCAAGGACTACGTAGTGAGATGCTATCTCAAAAATAAATAGAGCCGGGCAGTGGTGGCGCACACCTTTAATCCCAGCACTTGGGAGGCAGAGGCAGGCAGATCTCTGTGAGTTCCAGGATAGGCTCCAAAGCTACAGAGAAACCCTGTCTTGAAAAACGAAAGAAAGCGAGGGAGGGAGGGAGAAAGAGAGAGAGAACTGGACAATGGTGGTGCACATCTTTGATGCTAGAACTTGGGAGGCAGAAGCAAGTGGATCTCTGTGAGTACAAGGCCAACCTGATCTATAGAGTAATTTATTGGACAGGCTCTAAAGCTACTCAGAGAAACCAATAAATATATAAACTAGATATGATAAATAAAAAACAGATATAAACCCTGCATCTCCAGGACTTTGTAAGAAAATATACAGAAAGTCTACTGTAGGATTACAGCTGTTAGGCCTCAGAGATGGGGAGTAGCCTGTCAAATCTGAGCTTGGGGTGTGGGGTGGGTGTTTCTCCTGTACTCCAGCCTCTTTCCTTAGTGCATCTTCTGAGCTGAGAGGCACAGAGGTGTGCACCCCCACTTTACAGATGGGAAATGCCTTGCCCAAGGCCACAGCTAAACGCAGCGTTCTTCACAAATTTGGGCAGGCAGTAACACATGATGAAGGAAAGCACTCTAGTGGGCACCTCTCAGGTTCTGTAGTGGGAGGGTGAGCACACTGTCCACGTGGCTGGAGAGAGTGAGGGTCAGCACGCTGTCCACGTGGCTGGAGGGAGTGAGGGTGAGGACACTGTCCACGTGGCTGGAGGGAGTGAGGGTCAGCACACTGTCCACGTGGCTGGAGGGAGTGAGGGTCAGCACACTGTCCACGTGGCTGGAGGGAGTGAGGGTGAGGACACTGTCCACGTGGCTGGAGGGAGTGAGGGTGAGGACACTGTCCACGTGGCTGGAGGGAGTGAGGGTGAGGACACTGTCCACGTGGCTGTTTTTGCTACAGACATGGACATCCCGCTGCCTGATGAAGTTCTATGCTGTGGTGGCCGCCTCCCCTACTTCCTGTGAGAATCACAAGATCGCAGAGAGGATAGAGCAGCGGATCCTGAACTCCAACCCTGTTATGGAAGCTTTTGGTGAGCTTGGTGTCCTCTGCACTATATTCCAGTTCTATTTCCTCTGGGATTCACCACCTCTAGGAAACAGGTAGTGCTTTAAGACCTCTCTCTGGCCAGGCACTGGTGGTGAACACTTTTAATCCCAGTACTCAGGAGGCAGAGGCAGGTGGATCTCTGTGAGTTCAAGGCTAGCCTGGTCTACAGAGTTCCAAGACAATCAGGACTGTTTCACAGAGAAACCTTGTCTCGAAAAACCACAAAAAAAAAAAAAAAAAAAAAAAAAAAGAAAAGAAAAAAGGACCTCTCTCTGCTCTCTCTGGGCTGGAGAATGACTGTCCTTCACTACCTAAGTCCCAACCCCTTTCCAGATTTCCTCAGCTTCCTTATATTAGAGGTGCTGTCATATCGGGATATAACTCATTGGTAAAGCATCTACAACAAGTGTTGCCATTTGGCTTACATAAAGCAGTCGGACAGAGTGTCTTGGCTCATCTGGTTCCAATCTTATCTCTCCATTCAGTTTTCTAATGTTCCAAAAAGGAAATTTGTCAAAGGTGGCATAGCTTTATTTTGACGGGGGAGTGTTTTGGTTTGATTTATTTATTTTGTTTGTTTTGGTTTGGTTTTGAGACAGGGGTCTTGCTATGTAGCCCTGGCTGTCCTGGATATCTGCCAGCCTCTACCTCCGATTAAAGACGCGCACCACTCTCCCTGGCATAACCATAGTGTCCATGTTGGGTCTCGAGTCCACATGTTGTACTTGTGTCTTAAACCAATAGTGACAACTTGCTTTCACCTCTTCCTGTCAAAGCAGAAAGTCCCTGACTGGAAAGATGGCTCAGTAGTGAAAAGCATTTGTTCCAGGCCAGGCAGTGGTGGTGCACGACTTTAATCACAGCACTCAGGAGGCAGAGGCAGGTAGATCTCTGTGAGTTCAAGGCCAGATTTGTCTACAGGGCAAGTTCCAATTGTTGCTCTTGCACAGGACCTGAGTTCAGTTCCCAGCACCCACATGGTGACTCGCAACCATCCTATAACCAGTTCAACCACCTCTTCTGACCTTTTGCAGGTACCAGGCATACACATGGTACATACACAAGAATGCAGATAGAACACTCATACACATAAAAAAACAGCCCCACTGTGTCTAGGCCTACTCATTCCTGTTCCTAGTTGGGAAATACTTCTTGATATTTATCTTGAACCCCATTTATCAAAATCTTAGTGCCCATTCCTCAATCCTGACTGCCATGACATGGAAATTAACCAAGTGGCTTTTAGGTGACTAGAGATAGGAACAGCCACAGCAGCTCATGAGAATTCTGCAATCCTGGGGGAGTGGGTATAAACACAGATGTGATCTCTAGGGAACGCGTGCACACTGAGGAATAACAACAGCAGTCGCTTTGGGAAGTTCATCCAGCTCCAGCTGAACAGGTAATAGCTACTGCCATCCAGCTCATGGGACAGCAGGGAGTGGAAGCATCTGGGGCAGCCACCAGCCTAGGTCATCCCCATGAGCAAAACTCTACTTGTAGTTTGTACGTTGTGTGTATGGGTTTCTTGAGCACAGTGAACTCCTGAGGTGTCCTTTTTTAACCTAGAAAACCACAGCTTCTGTGACCTTAGTGCTCTTATGGCCTGTGTGCTCATGCTGGCTTCTCTTGCTCAGAAATTTCTTGTTAAAATGCCTCTTTGATATAACCCTGTGCTAGGGCATTAGCTCCTACCTTGAGATGGGTCAAAGTGATAATGCAGAGGTGTTTGCCATGCCTACCTGAGCTCCATGCAAGAGAATACCCCAGAACATTCAAAGACATTTTGAGTTTGTTGCTTGAGGCAAAGTCTCACAGAACCCAAGTTAACTTGAACTCATGCTCCTCCTGGCTACTGTACCTGACTTCCCAAGGACATTTGGGATGTTCCCAACCCAAGAAGAGCTTGGAAGGGATTTGCTAGGTGGCAGTGGGATGAAGGGATAATGACGTGCTCTGCCTCTGTGTGCCAGAGCCCAGCAGATGACGGGAGCAGCGGTCCAGACCTACCTCCTGGAGAAAACGCGTGTGGCTTGTCAGGCCTCCAGTGAGAGGAACTTCCACATCTTTTACCAGGTCTGTGCCAGGTGGAGTACACTCTGCCACAAGCAGGACTGGGTGGCTCATCCCTCCACCCCAGCATGCTCTACACCTGGCCCCTCACTTGCTCTCAAGCAGAGCTGCTCACCAGGCAAGTTTGGGCCTAGAGGTATGTTTTTCTGCCTCTTTCAAATCAGAAGGCCCTCTAGGCAGGAACTCTGTCTTCTAAATGGAAACCGTATCACCTGCCTTAGACTGAGGGCCCTTCGAGGATGGAAACATTTTCCCACAACAGTTTGAGGGAAATTCCTTCCTGGACTGGGCTTCTCCAAGGCATTGGTGGGGCTCCTTGCACCCAGACTAGGAGCTTCTTTAGGTAAGGGGATGTACCCCAGCAAGAGTCATGCATTCTGCGTCAGAGTGCCAGCTTTCCAGGAAGACAGCTTTTGTCCATCAGGATGAGACATCCCACCCCATGCCCCGCGCTTACTTTGGAGCACTCTTAGCCTGGCAATGTTGCTGCCATTTCTTGCTCCTCATTTTAACCCCAGGCCTGAATGTCCTCTCACTCCACAGATTTGCAAAGGAGCCACCCAGGATGAAAGACTCCAGTGGTACCTCCCTGAGGGAGCTGCCTTCTCCTGGCTACCCAATCCAGAAAATAGTTTGGAAGGTAGGAGGAGCATCCTTGGTACCCTAGACTGCCCCCAAAGCCCCACCTATTCTGCCCAGGGCCTGTCTTCCCTCCCGCACTGACCCTGCTGACCACTGGGCTGTGACATGGATTCTTTTCAGAGGATTGTTTCGAGTTGACCAGAGAGGCCATGCTCCATTTGGGCATCGACACCCCCACCCAGAACAACATCTTTAAGGTCAGAAGAAAAGCCATGCTACTTACACTTAGAGGTGATGGTAGCCCTTATCATGGATTGTCCCTGGACTTGGGACTCTCTCTCCACAAATGTCTAGGACTTCAGGCCTCACAGGACCATATCTAAGGAGCTGGGCCATAGGGTCAGTGACACACCATATAGTACTTAGTAATGAACATGGCACAGTGACTCACACTCCCAGAGCACAAGACTTTAGGGCAGGTTTTATTACAGTAACAAGAATAGAGAGATTTCCTTGTTTGTCTAACACTTTAAAGCTTAGAAGTTATGTTCACACCTCTTAGCTCACTTGATTTTATCAACAATCTTTTATGCATGGAGATTATTTCCATTTTATACTTGAGAAAATCAGAGGTAAAGAAACCTAACTGAGCCAGGCAGTGGTGGTGCATGCATCTCAGCACTCTGGAGGCAGAGGCAAGCAGATCTCTGTGAGTTTGAGGCCAGCCTGGTCTACAGAGCGAGTTCCAGGACAGGCTCCAAAGCTACACAGAGAAGCCCTGTCTTGTAAAACAAGCAAATAAAAGGAAAGAAAAAGAAAAGAAACCTACCCAAGATACAACTAAGTGATAAAGTTAGTTCCAGGCATTTTCATTCCAGTGCCCACCTCTTCCTCCACTGTCCTCTGCCTCTCCCTCTGGGAGCCCAGTGAGCTAGCCTTCTCCTCCTCACTGCCTTTCTACCTTTGCTGAAGACCAATTGCTTCCCTTACTTCCTCAACTCCTACAGCTACCGGATGCAGTGTATAGGGTGGGCTGAGGACAGACAGGGAAGCCACTGAAGGAAGATGGGGATATTGGTGGCCTCTGGAAGCTGAGCTATCAGACCCAGTATGGACACTGCTAGGTAGGAGTTTGTGCAGAAGGACAGTACATGGAGCTAGGCTAGAGGGAGTGGAGAGCAGTAGGAGTCTGTCTGGGCATGAGTGCTGTTTGAGGGTGCTAAGACATTCTTATTTGGCTGGAAAGACACCATGATCAGGAAGGTGGTTTTCCCAGGGCAAGGCTCATCCATTCCACTGAAAGTGTTATGACCCTGTACCATATACCATAGCCATGCTGCCCAGTGGGCACAGCTGCCCTCTCCCAGGGTAGTTTGGAGCCAGAAGACTAATAGCCTATGGAAATTATCTGTCTGGGGCCAGACAACAATGGCAGGAAAGGCTCTGCTCTCTCAATATGAGATCCAAGGGTTTCTAAACTTATTACCAAGTGTTCTCCTTGCCATCATAACTTCTGGAAATTACTTCTGTAAACCATTGAAAGCAAAGGCAGAAGGGTAGCACCTACTATCACTGCCCAGTAATGCTGATAAAGGGTCCCAGGAAGCCATGACCAAGCCCCATTAGGCAGAAATGACACTGGTCCATAACTAAGGGAACAGTACCCCCACATGGACTGTTCATGAAGAGAGAGGAAGTGGGACAGAGGATGGATGGAGCCTACTGGCTGCTCTGGGAGGCGGCTGAAGTCTCACTGCCTAGACTCTAATCTTGGCCTAGGCTCAACATTAACCTCTCCCATCTCTGTTACGGGCATCTTCGTGACATGTACTTCATAGGATGTGGAAGAGATTGTCTTGGGATGCTCTAACATGAAATCTTGTCTGACAGAGGTAGACAGTGGGACAGTCATCAGGAGCTCCCCTCCTCTATTGTTGCAGCATCAGCTTTTTCACGCCCCTGCTTCCTGACCACCCCTTCTGCCGTCAGGTCCTTGCTGGACTGCTGCACCTTGGCAATGTCCATTTTGCTGACTCAGATGATGAAGCCCAGCCCTGCCAACTGATGGATGGTTCCAAAGGTGAGAGACAGGGATGGTATGGTGGGATGCACCTGACAGGAGAGTGACTACTGTTACTGAGGTGCGGTGGGAAATTGAAAGCTGAACTTTCAGTCTGGCACCCTTGATTAGCCAGCTGCTGACGGGCCTGCCATGGATAATTACTCCTCAGCCTTTGGTGAAGCCAGCACTGTTTTCTCCGTCTCACAATGAGAAAATCGGTCAGGTGCTTTAGAAATTATTTGTCCAGTTGTAATACTGTGGCTTCAGGTCCTGTCTCTGCCATGTAAGGAGGCCTGTGGCAAGCCTCTTAGAATCTAGGCTTCCTCCATCCACTCAGTTCCAGTGGAGGGTGTTTGCTTAAGGAGGACTCTCCTCCCAGCCTCTGTCAGGACATCAGCCTCACTGCTGCAGCTCTCAGAGAACATGCTGCTGGAGACTGTGCAGATTCGAACCATCAAGGCAGGCAAGCAGCAGCAAGTGTTCCGGAAGCCGTGCTCCCGAGCTGAGTGTGACACCCGCAGAGACTGTCTGGCCAAACTTATCTATGCACGGTGAGCAGTTTACCCTGGGCCTTTACTTCCCATGGGTTCTTAGACTGTCTGAGGTTGAACTAAACACTGTCAGGCAATGGGTAGAGGCCCAAGATGGAGGGTTCTGAATAAAGCAGACCAGTTGCTGGGCCTCCAGGACATGGCAAGGCATAGTTCCCAGGTTCGCCCTAAACACTGCCTTTGGCCTCTGTGCTTGTTTTGAATGGTGAAGTTGCCACATTCCTGACCTAGATTTAGCTCATCGTTCAAGTACAAGATCCTGCTTTGACCTTAGCCTAGGTGAGGAAAGCCTGCTTAGCTCCCCTCGGCAAAGCAAGCCCCCAAAGGTGATCTCCTTCTTTACAGCACAGGTTCAGACTGTTGAGTGGTGGATAGGCTCCTCTGTCTCCTGCACCCTGGTTCCTAAGGTTATTCACCTGGGGAGTTGGAGAGACAGCAGCGAAGCCAGAACTCAGCTCAGAGTCAGGGCCAACAAAAGACGCAGCAGGCAGGAGCAGCACAGCAGGGAAAGTGGGTTCTGGCCTTCCTTTCTTGGGACATGACATAGGCTTCTCCATCCTCTGGACCATATGGTCAAGGATTACCTCATCTTGAGTTCTGAGAACCTTCAGAGTGCTTTGTAAAGGCTGTTGGGGTCAGAGTACCGAGATTATCCATGACCACTATATGTGTGCGCATGTGAGATCTTGGACAACCCTGTTCAGAGCCAAGAATCTGAAGTCTTCCTAAGCCCATGGCAACTAGAGACAGGTACTGCTGCCTCAAAGCAGGTTTTAGGTCAAAAGTTGGGGGACTTTTGTTTTTGGAGGGTTATTTTGAGACAGGGTCTCACTATGTAGCTCTGGCTGACCTGGAACTCACTATCAGTGCTGTGATTAAAAGTTTGTGTTACTACTTACTAAATAAAGATATTTAGCAGGGGTTGCTGGTTCCATTCCAGAGTCTGTATATAGGCTCTGTTTCCTACTGATGTAGGAGAAGGCAATGTGTAGGAAAGAAGTCCCTGAACCGTGTAATGCTTGTTGCCAGCTTGTATCAAAATTTCATTTTCTTTTTTTTTTAAATGAGCTTATTTATTTTTATTTTATGTGGATTGGTTTTTTTTTGTGCCTGTGTTTATGTCTATGTGAAGGTGTCAGATCCCCTGGAGTTGGAGATACAGACAGTTGTGAACTGTCATGTGGGTGCTAGGAATTGAACCTGGGTCTTCTGGAAGAGCAGCCAGTGCTGTTAACCTCTGAACCATCTCTCCAGCTCCCAGAAGTTTTATGTTCTGTGGGCTAGTGACAGTTCCAGAGTAGAGAATGCCATTATTCTTGTGACTTGGGACCACTTTGTTTGGGACTGAGTAGGATGTGGCAGCTCCTTAAGCGTTTTTCAGGGGAATTTAATGCAGTAAGCTCCTTGCTAACCCGACTGGGACCTGCCAGTAGCCTCTTCTAGTCACAGCATCAGCTGTGATGGGCTTCATGACTAATGCAGACCCAGGAGCCTGTGCTATCCTGTGCTATCATGCTATGAGGACAGCTCAGGCTTTTGTATACCTGGAAATGTATATGTGTAAAGCCTACCTCTGCAGTAGGTCAAGACTGCATAAATCAGAAACAAGAGGATTTAGCCTTTGGCCCAGTGGGTTCAGAACACAGGGCCTTCTAGCTTGTAGCACCCTTCCTGGGAGAGCAGTTTCACCAGTCCCACTCTTTCCCATCAACAGGCTGTTCAACTGGCTGGTATCAGTGATCAACAGCAGCATCTGTGCAGACTCCAACTCGTGGACTGCCTTCATAGGTAGCAAGGCTCACCCTGCCACAGGCCCTCCTGAAAAGCAGCTGGACCCTGAGTGGAGGGAGGGTCTTTGGGTCACCTGTGTGCCTCTAAGCAGCTCCTTTCTCCTCTCAGCCAGTGTCCTCATCCATCCTTCCAGGAGTTTGGTGATATTTCTACATTTGATTGCCCACAAATGACATGTCCATGGCTCTCCAGACAGACCAGTTTATGCATTGTCCCTAATGGTCCCTTTATCCTAGAGACTTAGCTCCAACCCCAGAAGAGTAGTCAGAGCTAGAGTGGGAGACACAGTTGAGATCGGTGTTGTACTCTTGGGTTAGGTGAGTCGAATAGGGGAAGGAAGTAAAACCTAGGGGTGCTGACACAATTTGCTTAAAGAGACGCATCAGCTAGGCTGGTGAAATCGAGGTCCTCTGAACTCGGTTGTTTCAGAGATCATTTCCTGCTATCACACAAAAAAATGGGACCTGATATCCTCAAGGAGGAGCCTATTGGGGCCAGATGATACAGACTCAAAAGTATGCTGGCACCTGGGCTGCCCTTCATTCAGATTTTTGGCTTTCTGCCTGCTCTGACTTAGTATGGGGCAGGGGAAGAGGTCCTGGGTCCTACCTGGGTGAGTGGTGGGAACAGGAGACAGCGATCACTCAGCCTTATCCCAAAGCTTCTAAGTATGAGACCTCAGCAAGGGTCCAGTCATTTGGGGTCCTATAGTTGTCCTCTTCCCCCCCCCGTGGTAGCCCCATGGTTCTCTCCTGTCTCCAAAGGTCTGCTAGATGTGTATGGGTTTGAGTCATTCCCTGACAACAGTCTGGAACAGCTGTGCATCAACTATGCCAATGAGAAGCTACAGCAGCACTTTGTGGCTCACTACCTCAAGGCCCAGCAGGTGAGGTGTGGAGCAAGGCAGGTCATCCTTCTGGATCCTCTGCCTCTTCCTGGCCCCCAGCCCAGTCATGACTAGACACCTTTGTTCCTGTCTTATTAATTGATAAGTAATAATGATGTAAGAAAGTGTTTTAATATATTTTTGTTTCTTCCTTAATGCTGTTGTGGAACTTTCTCCCACTGCACCCCTGCCCAGGAGGAATATGCACTTGAGGGCCTGGAGTGGTCATTTGTCAACTACCAGGACAACCAGACCTGTTTGGATCTCCTGGAGGGGAGCCCCATCAGCATCCTTTCCCTCATAAATGAGGTAGGGAGGTTCAGCCAGTGAGCCAAGCAGCACTTTTTGGGGCCTTGGTGACTGTTTTATGTGCTCTTTTGTCTGTCTCTCTCCCACATCTGCAAATAAGTGTGCTCCCACACACATGCTGTAGTTGATATAGTGCCTGTGTTACAACTCTACTGCAGTGGGGGCCAGACACTGAGGAAGGTGAAGATGTGGTAAGACCTCGATGATGACCACCCGCTCCCACCCTACAGGAATGCCGTCTTAATCGGCCGAGCAGTGCAGCCCAACTCCAGACACGCATCGAGAGTGCTCTGGCAGGCAAACCCTGCCTGGGCCCTAATAAGCTCAGTCGGGAGCCCAGCTTTGTGGTTGTGCATTTCGCAGGACCCGTGCGGTACCACACAGAAGGCCTGGTGGAGAAGAACAAGGTGGGCGCTGAATCCCTGCACAAAGTAGTTCCTAACTGGCATCCTCTTCCTCCTGAGTCTCCTAAAAAAAATCTAGGCTCACCTTCTTGAGCCCTAACTAAGATGCTGGCTTGTCCATCCTGACCTGCCTGGAAGCAGCCTATGTCTCTTCTTGGCCAGCAGACACACTCTACGTGGGACTCCAGCCTGCCCTTCTATGAAGTCCCGAGCTCGGGTAGAGGTGCTAGAGCAGCAGCTGGCACTAAGAAGCAGCTCACCTACCTGCCACCTTTGTTCTTTCCCAATAGGACCCTGTTCCCCCTGAGCTGACTGGGCTCCTGCAGCAATCCCAAGACCCTCTGCTCATGATGCTATTTCCTACTAACCCTGAAGAGAAGACCCAGGAGGAGCTGTCTGGCCAGAGCAGGGCTCCTGCATTGACTGTGGTATCCAAGTTCAAGGTAGGTCTGGTGGTGATGACATGAAGTGCTGTGTTCACTCTCATAATTGTCTGTTGAGCACCCCTCAGGATCGGGGCTGTCTGCTAGGGAGCAGTAATGTGCCATGCAGAAATGACATAGGTCTCTTCAAATTTATGCTTCAGTGTAAAGGGCCCATAGGAAACAGGCAAGAGACAGCATGGGATATAAGAATGTGACAGAGATAGGGGCTCTCACCCTCTGCTCATGGGGTAGTCAGAGAAGAGTACACTTTATATGGAGCTGTGACTGCCCTGTTCAAACCCTGTGCTTGGCTGGGCCAGAATACCACTTCCCCTGGTGTTCTCTGCTTCCTTTGTGTGAAACTTGCATGGGTTGCTCCCACTCCTGGGACCTCTTGACCACTACCCTTCCACATCTTGTTCACCCACCCTGCCACTTTTTTTATTTGTTCCTGTTTATATGTTAACCCCTACTTTGCCGTCACCTTGAGGGCACCCTGGGAAACTCGAGTTTATTGTCTGAGGAGTGTGCTGCAGCCACAGCGTCAGACATTACTGACAGTACCTGTACAGATTGTGTTATTAGGCTGACCTGTGACATAGTAGACTGTCGGAGTCACGTCCCTCTGGCACATAGTGTAACAGCAGGGGTGATGTGAAGCTGTTCTCCTGTAGGAGTGAAGTGAGGACAAGCTCTATACCAGAGGATCAGTGAGAGCCACTGGTCAGAGCATCCCTGGATAAAGGTGACAAGTGATGGGTGATTAAACAGCTTTGCACATGTTCTTTAAGAACTTCCAAGTCACGTGGGATAGCACACACCTTTAAACCCAGTACTCAGGAGGCAGAAGCAGGCGGATCTCTGTGAGTTTGAGACCAGTTCTTGGACAGCCAGGGTGGTTATACAGAGAAACTCTGTTTCAGAGGGAGCAGGGATTTCCAGTAGTTCCCAGGGGATATATGGGTGTTGATGTCAAGACTGAGAGGGCCACTAAGGACAAAACATTCCCACTAACCAGAATCCAGCTTATGACCCTGCGCAGCCCCAATCCTGCCTCACCCAGGTTTCTCTGTCTGCAGGCCTCGCTGGAACAGCTCCTGCAGGTCCTACATAGCACAACACCCCACTACATTCGCTGTATCAAGCCCAACAGCCAGAGTCAGCCACAGACCTTCCTCCAGGAAGAGGTAACTAACCCTCAGCTACAGCTGCCTAGTATCAAACCCCATCTGGCAGGGCCTAGAAAACCAAAGGAAAGCATCTCCAGATGTGATCACAGACAGTCTCTCAGGCTGGGCCTCCCTGCTCTGGCAGGGCAGTCGTGTGTGGTTGTATGTCTGTACAGTGCACCAAGCCTAGCCAGTGTGGCACATGGGGACTCTAGAACACCTTGCTCCCTGCTCACCTAGCCTATCTCTGACAAGAGACTGAATCTGCTTGGGGCAATGGCTGTTTACGATTTGTTCAGCATCTGTACTTCAGTCCATGAAGTATGGCTATCTCTGGACTGTTAATCTCATTTCTAGTTTACACAAAAGCACTCCTCAGGGTTTCAGGTTCTGAGGGGTACAGAGATGTGTGAGTGCGGACAGCACTGAAGAATGGCCAACAGTCACCTGGTAAATGTGGCGTACAGCCAAGATAACTTGGCTGTGTGGTAAAGTTCTGGGTTCAAATCAAGTAAGAATCTTCGCAGTCTAACCTTCCGTGCTTGAGCAGCTCTGATGCTGGAAGAGAATAAAGCAGTTCTGTATTGTGAAGTGGTATCAGCCTGGGAGAGGTGAGAGACAGCCAGGACCACTGCAGACCTTAGCTACATCAGGAGCCAGCATCAGACAGGGCCTTTCAGGTCCTCCCTTCCAGCAGGGAGATCATCAGGCCCTCTTGGTTTCTTTTGGTCCCATGGAGACTGACATCTCTGTCAGCCAATTGTGCCTATCATTGAAGGTCAGGACCAGAGATATGCAAAAGAGATGGTATTTCTGGCCTATAGGTGCTTGCCCTGTCTCCCCACCCTTGCAGGTGCTGAGCCAGTTGGAGGCCTGTGGTCTTGTGGAGACCATCCACATCAGTGCTGCTGGCTTTCCCATCCGGTAAGTGAGCCACGTTGCTGTAGGGCCAAGGCCTGGTGGTGCTCAGAGCTTGGGCCAGACAGAGGGAGGAAGGGATGAGGAGAATGGCAGGTCTGTGGCAAAGGGATGGCACCTGTACATCTAGTCAGTCACTCATTGTGTATTTCTCTGCCTTGGAGGGCCTACATTCTGTGGAAACAAGAAAATTAAGTATGGGCCAGACACGGTAGCACACTCCAGCACTTGTGATACTGAAACAGGAAGATCAACACACATCTAAGGCCAGCCTAAGCTACAAGAGCTAGTTCCAGGACAGGCTCCAAAACTACAGAGAAACCCTGTCTTGGGGGAAAAACAAACAAACAAAAAACTTTTTTTTTTTTTTTTTTTTAAAGAAAGGGTCTGGGGTTTGAGAGATGGTTCAAGGTTAAGAGCACTGGCTGCTCTTCAGAAGACTGGGATTCAATTCCCAGCACCCACATGGCAGCTCACAATCATCTAACTCAAGTTCCAGGGGATCTGAAGCCTTCCTTTGGCATCCAGAGGCACCAGGCATACACATGGTGGACAGACATACATGCAGGCAAAACTCATACACATAAAGTTTTCAAAAATTTACAAATAAAACTGGGCATGGTGGCACGTGCCTTTAATCCCAGCACTCAAGAGGCAGAGGCAGGCAGATTTCTGTGAGTTCAAGGCCAGCCTGGTCTACAAAGTGAGTTCTGGGATAGCCAGAGCTTACACAGAGAAACCCTACCTTGGGGGGCGGGAGGCGGATTAAATTTTTTAAAAAAATCAATAAGCACAAATAAGTGCTTGCTGAGGACCCAAGTCTGGATCTCCAGCATCACTGCTAAGCTGGGTGTGATGGGGCTGGAGAGACAGATGGCTCGATGACTGAGAGCACTGAGCTCTTCCACAAGACCTGGGTTCAATGCCCAGCACCCACATGGCCGCTTACAGCTGTCTGTAGCTCCAGTTTCAGGGGATCTGGCACCTTCACAGACACACATGCAGGCAAAACACCAATGCACATCAATTAAAAATAAATAAAAATCTTTAAAAAAAAAAAAGCGAGATATGGCAACAAGCACCTGTAATCCCAACACTGGGAGGCAGACACAGTAGTCTGTGGACTTGCTGGCCAGCCAGTTTAACCAGTCAGTAAGCCCCGGGTTCAATGAGAGACTCAAAAAATATGGTGGAAAGCTATAGAAGAAAGTTTCCAATGTCAGACTGAGGCCTCCACATGTGCAAGCACACACATACTTCCACAGATAACACACAAGTGTAAAGGACAGCTAGTGCTAGGAAAGAAACAGAATTTGTTGTTGCAGGGAAAATCTGTGGTCTGGTTATCAGTGCAGAGGAAAGGGAAGGGAAGGACTTAGAACAGAGAACAACCATAATGCTGTCAGGTAGTGAGACACCAATGGCCTGGGCCACAGAGAAGCAGCAACAGTGAATGGAAGCCTCGGCAGTGTGCCCTGAGTGTGGTGGAAGAAGCTGCATCTTGTATTCTCAGAGAATTCTTGTGCTACTCACTCAAGTTGGATGCAGGGTTAGGACAGAAGGGAGATGAGTGATGTTGCAGGATTAGCTGGGAAGCAGTAGGCCCAACTGGGATGTCTAGCTCACAGTAAAGAGAACTAGACAGTCTGCAAGGTGAGTGCCCAGGGAGTAGTCTGCGTCCAGGCTGTAGAAACAACTGCTGTTTTCTGGGGCAGATGGTTGAATCAGGACAGTTTATCAAAATGGGCTAGTCTTGTGGAGGCCAGAGTTGGAGTGTGAAGGAAAAGGGAAATGAGAATCAGGAATTCTCCTGTGGCTTTGTCTGATTTGAGAAGTTCAGAGACAAGCCTCAGAGTCTTAAGAACTGTGCAGGTACATGTTGTCCATCCTCACTGGGTTTAAGCACCCCACTACCACAAGGAGATATGCCATACCACATGAAGTCAGAGGACAACTTGGCAAGTCAGTTCTGCCCTCCCACCATATGGGCCTTGAGGATGGAAATGTTGTCTGCAGGCTTCCCACTGAGTGGCCCTTGGCATCTCTAGGACACACCCTCCTCCATTCAGTTGGGATGGTCAGGCAGCACTGACTTTGAGCCCCAGCTAGGCACCTGGCTCACAGTCTTGTTCTTTTTGTCTTCTTTGGCTTCCAGGGTCTCTCACCAGAACTTCGTGGAACGATATAAATTACTGAGACGGCTCCGACTTCGCACATCCTCTGGTCTCTGGGGCTTGTGTTCTGCCAAAGGGCCCTCTGGTGAGTGGAGCCCATTTTTTTTTGTCATTTGTTCAACCGTAGGTTACTGAGGACTGAGCTGTACCTTCTCAGAGATGAGGGTCCAAAGACTGATGGTTGTTTGCACAATGTGGGGAACAAACCCCAGCTGACAATGGTGTAGAAAGGTCAGTGTTGGTGCACATCTTTAATCCGAGTACTCAGGAGGCAGAGGCAGGTGGGTCTCTGTGAGTTCAAGGCCAGCCAGGACAACTATGGCTGTTACACAGAGAAACTCTGTCTCAAAAAAAAAAAAAAAAAAGGAAGGAAGGAAGGAAGGAAGAAAGAAAGAAAGAAAGGGCAGGCAGGCAGAGAGCTTACTCTGGTGCCAGGGAGATGTGGAGGGGAAAGTATTTAGAGGAGGTGGCGATAACCGGATTAGCTAGGCGACGCCCACTGCACATGACATCTGAACAAAAGCTCCCAGGCGAGAGACAGAGCCGTAGGTGTGGCAGGGAAGGCTAGAGTGCCAGGTGAGCTTTATTCCTGGGTAGATGAGGTGGCTGCTTCAAAGGAGAGAGCCAGTGCCCCATCCACCTCATGCTCTTCACTCTAGGGACCTTATGGGAGGTGTTGGGGGTGAGGCTGTGAGCCACCCAAGGAGAAGCCAGAGCTGTGTGCAGCTATGGGCACACTGGTCAGTGTTGGTAGGCATGGCTCTGTACAGATACAGAGGTAGACAGAAATGGACGGTGAACTTGGCCTTGCCAGTGAGAAGAGTAGGCAAAAGGGAAATCTGAGGAATCTGGACCAGCCCTGTATGGCCAGCTTGAGCTCCAGGGTCCAGGAGACATCAAAGGGGGAGAAGTGTACAAAGCACTAGGGTGAAAGTCTAGCCTGTGACGCAGTGTAGCTAACTAAAAATGTGGGAATGTTAGAGGCAGAGGGACAGACACAAGGACTAGGACAAATCTCAGCCCAGCCACAGCTGCTCCCCAACCTCTCAGCCCTTCTGGGCCCCACCAGTAGTTTTCTCTTGGGAGTGTGTCACTCTCCTTCGCCCTCCCCTTCTTTCTCCTCTCTCCACGGTTCGCTCTCCTGTCTCTCTTACCAACAAGCCTCTCTGGGCCCTGGTCCAATTTCTGGATGTCTCTCATCTCTCGTCTCCTGCATCTGTTTGGTGTCCTCTGTCTCCAAAGAGGCGCTGGGCTGCTAACTGTCAGAGCCCTCAGGTAAATCTTCCCAAACAGGAGGCACGCTTGGGAGGGCTTTCCCACAGTTGGGTATGGTATTCCTTTTCTTCACTTGACTGTACCTGGTAAGGGGTGGGACCAAGGGAGTAGCCAAGCAGTCTGGGATTTCCTCTCCAGGCTTACAGACCTTGCAGCCTGTCCAAGGAGACATGGGGCAGTGGTGACTTCAGAACAGTCCCAAACAGCCAGGACTGTGAGGGATGAAAGGGGGAAGAAGAAATGACTAGATTCAGAACAGCAATAAGAGGCGTAGAGAGCCAAGCTCTTCAGACTCCAGAAGCCTGTGGGAATGAGCGGGCACTGATGAAGCCTTTCTCCCACCTCCAGAGCCGCCTCTATGTGCCAAGGAGGCCACACTGCAGCCTCTACTACAGGACATTCTCCATGCTCTGCCAGCTTTAATTCAGACAGCGACCCCTCCCAGTGACCCAGCTGAGACCACACAAGTCCCACTGTACTGTGGCAGGACAAAGATTTTCATGACTGACTCCATGGTAAACTGACTGGGGAACGAGATTACGAGTGCCAGCAGCAAGTGTAGGCCGTTCTCAGGGTGGGGAGGGGAGGCCAGACACCTCAGTGGACTCCTCTTCTCTCAGCTAGAGCTTCTGGAATGTGGACGTGCCCAGATGCTGGAGCAGTGTGCCCGCTGCATCCAGTGTGGCTGGAGGCGACATCGTCTCCAAAAGCAGGAGAAACAGAGGCGGGCTGCCGTGCTCATTCAGGCAGGTAGGTGGGGCTGATTCCATATGACGGGTCTGACTAACACAGTCCTGACAGGCTGATTTTGAAAAGTGAAAATCATTTGTCCTTCTGTAGTGCCATGAATCAAACCCAGGGCTTCACTCATGCTAGGCAAGTGCTATAACATGGAGCTACATTTCCACACAAGCACAGACCACCCAGACCCCTCCTGTTCCTTGGGAACTGATGAGGACTGAGTCTGAGGTCAGTGGCAGCCTGGGTCCTTACAGCTCCCAGGTGGCTCTTCAATGTGCAGCTATCTGTATTGGGCAGTATAACGTAAGACTGTGTGTGTGTGTAAGTGTATAATGTAAGACTGGTGTGTGCACAGCTATCTGTAAGCTTGTGGGCAGTATAACACAAGAGTTGTGTGTACCATATGCGTTCAGGTGCCCTTGGAGGCCAGAACTAGAGTCAGAAGAGGTTGTGAATCACCATATGGGTGGTGGTAACCAGTCTGGTGCCCTGCAAGAGCAGGGGGCTCTTAACCACTGAGCCATCTTTCCAGGAGCGACTCTTAAGCCCCATTTTGCCTTATATATTGACATCACTGGGAAAACGGACTTCATATTTTCACATCAACCCATATTGGCCACATGGCTAACAGCTCTACTGATGGTTTTTATGTCTCTGCTGTTTCTTTAGCTATCCGGTCCTGGTTAACGCGGAAACACATCAGAAGGTTACACAGCGCTGCCACGGTCATCAAGCGCACTTGGCGAAAGTGGAGAGTGAGTGTGGCTGAAGGCCAGGGGTGGGCTTCAGACAGGCCCAAGACAGAGGGATGTCTGTGCCGCTGGGGTGTGGCACCAGCCTCTAAGCCTGGTGTCCCGTGTATAAAAAGGGTACAGATAGCTCCTGTACAGAGTGGCATAAGCAACCCTAGGCTCAAACTGCCAATAAAACTGCAGTTTCTTGACATTCTGCCCCATGAAGCAAGTCTAGTCCAGGGCATCACAGCCAAAGCTCTTGAGTTTACCTTGTCAAGCTGATTGTTTTCCAGTCAGAATGCTGGAAAAGAGCTAGTAAGATGACTCAGCAAGTAGACCAACTGAGTTTGAGCCCAGGGACCCTCATGGTAGGAACAAACTCTCAAAAGCTCTCTCTGACCTCCACAGGTGACCGTGGCATGCTCATGCCCACATGAGCATACATGCATACACACAAAGAGGTTTTTTTTTTTTTTTAATTTTTATTGATTTATTTGGTTTTTCAGGGCAAGGTTTCTCTCCTAGCTGTCTTGGAACTCACACTATATATAGATCAGGCTAGCCTTGAACTCAGAGATCCACCTGTCTCTGCTTCCCAATTGCTGGGATTAAAAGGGTGCACCCCCACCAGCTAACTATTTTATCTTTTTAAAGAGGGCAAGATCTTGACTACCCAAGATCAAGCCCCAATTCATAAGCTGTCCTGTGACTTCAGCATGTCCACTATAGCATGCTACTTCTGTGTCAAGTAAATGAATGCAAAAGTAAGTCCTTTAGGGGCTGGAGAGGTGGCTCAGTGGTTAAGAGCATTGCCTGCTCTTCCAGAGGTCCTGAGTTCAATTCCCGGCAACCACATGGTGGCTCACAGCCATCTATAATGAGGTCTGGTGCCCTCTTCTGGCCAGCAGACATACACAGAGACAGAATATTGTATGCATAATAAATAAATAAATAAATATTTAAAAAAAAAAAAAGTAAGTCCTTTAGAAAGGTTAGGCAAACCTAACATTATAAAGGAGTGTTTTCTCTTTAAGATCAGAATGGCCTATCTTGCTTCTAAAGAACTGGATGGTATGGAGGATAAACCCATGCCTCAAGCTCCCAGTTCCCTGAGCTCCTCGCTGTCCCCAGCACACACTAAACTACTAGAGGCAATAATCCACCTCTGGCCCATGGGACTGGTGCTAGCCAACTCAGCTGTGGGTGTGCGCGGCTTTCAAAGGAAACTGGTGGCCCATGCCTGCCTCCGGCTTCCCACGGGCAACCCTAGCAACAACGTCCAGACACCACAACAAGATCAGGCTGGCATTACGTCCATCAGAGCGCTGCCTCAGGTATGTTCTCCTGAGATGCCATGGCCGTCCTTCCCACAGCTCCAGGTTGTTCACTGGGGAAGGCAGTGAACAAAGTTGCCTGTCGTGGGGGGGGGGGGGCGGGGGAGGGAGGGAATAGCACAAAACTCCCTAGCCCTATGGAATAAGCCAAATCTATAGGTGTTCCTTGCTGCCATTGTTCCAGCCAAAAACCAGATTGTTCAGAGCCCTTCAAAAACTGCTTATAAGGGCTGGAGAGATGGCTCAGAGGTTAAGAGCATTGCCTGCTCTTCCAAAGGTCCTGAGTTCAATTCCCAGCAACCACATGGTGGCTCACAACCATCTGTAATGGGGTCTGGTGCCCTCTTCTGGCCTGCAGTCATACACACAGACAGAATATTGTATACATAATGAATAAATAAATATTTTAAAAAAAAACTGCTTATAAGCATTTTATCTCTGAGTGTTTGGCTCTTCCTCTGCAATGTGAGATCCTCAGTTAGGCAAGTACCTCAGCCCTGTATCCTCTACCAGATGGACACAGGAAACTCCCTACAGGGTTGCTGTAAGGAATTAAAGAGTAGCACAGTTGACTCTAGGACATTAGTTCCACTTCTGAGAAATGAGTGTGGCCATAGTCTGTCTCCTCAGATGACATTCTACCACTTGGTTACTGGCTGTCACTTTCTCAACTGGAAACAGTGAATGTGTGGCCGGGTCCTGTGTGTTATGCCACCTGTTTGACCTGAAAGCAGGCCTCCCAGCCTGGTCCCAGCTCAGCCCCTTCCCTGGATAACCCTAGTAATGGCACGTCATCTTGGAACCTCCATTTTCTCCTCTGAAAACCGGGTTAATACCCCGCCTGGTACAAGGGACCAGAGGAAAGAAATGAAGTCAACAAGATGCCGTATAATCTGTACAAAGTCTCCCTGAAACTGACAAGGGGTAAACAAGTATTCTGATCTTCCAGCTGTCAGTAGGTGGGATGACAGCCAGTACCCTTAGAGTAATAGGAAATACTAGGAGTCTGTCACCCTGAATGGATTTCTCTCTTTGAGGTGTTGTTGGGCCCTGCCACTCATAGACTGGTTCTCTTTCTCTCCAGGGCTCGATAAAGTTTCACTGCAGGAAGTCTCCACTTCAGTATGCTGACATCTGCCCTGAACCTCCAGCCTCCAGTGTTACTGGCTTTAATCAGATTCTGCTAGAAAGACACAGGCCAGTCCAAGTGTGACTCTTGTACCCCACCTGCCTACGTGATCTTTAGTGCCTTTGTTTCCAGAAGGCCGTTTCCTGCCAGCTGCCTTGCCAAAGACATCTGATCAACACACAACTGCCAAGCTATTCCCACAGCGACTCCAACTGCGTGTGCAAGCAACAGCTTCTGTCTGTGAGCCAGGGCTTCGTGGTCAGAGTACCAGCCAGCTAGGACTATGGCCTCGGCACTGGCAGGATCTGGGAGTGCTAGTTACCAAGCCAAGATTAGGACCACAACATCCCAGCTTACTGTCCCCCTTCAGGCTCAGGTTCGGCAGATGTGACTGTCCGTCCAGAATGTCACTACAGCAGGATAGATACTGGGCCATCTACAAGCACTTTAAAATGGCCAAATCACCCTAAAATTGGCTCTAAAATTTTGGCTGGGGAAAACTTACATATAGTTCATTAAGGAACAATGCTATTTAATAAACTGATTTATTTAATGACACCAAGAACAATGAGCAATGCAATGTACACAGAACCACATCTTTAATTTATTCAGTAACACTATCAATCAGTTTTTAATTCAAAAACTAAACCTGGATAAACCTGGTATTTATGGTGTAACTCTGAACTGTACCAGAAATAAATTTAAAACCACCATGTAAATATAAATAGCCTTTTCCCTTTTTTAAAAAGAATGTATGGCCGGGCGGTGGTGGCGCACGCCTTTAATCCCAGCACTCGGGAGGCAGAGGCAGGCGGATCTCTGTGAGTTCGAGACCAGCCTGGTCTACAAGAGCTAGTTCCAGGACAGGCTCCAAAACCACAGAGAAACCCTGTCTCGAAAAACAAAAAAAAAAAAAAAAAAAGAATGTATGTTTGAGTTTTGCCTGCCATGTACGGCTGTGTATGATGCTTACAGTACCTTCAGAGGCCAGGAGAGGGTGTCAGAGCCCCGGAACTGTAATTACAACTGTTGGCAGTCATGCTGAAGACTGGTCCTCTGGAAGAGCTGAGCCATCCATCCAGCTGCAAGTTTCCTCTTCATAAAGGACCTGCACCTTGAGTATCCCCAACTTGTCTGATGAAGACGTACATGTCCTACAGCCTTGGAAACAACCTCCTCCTAAGAGGAGCAGTGGGCAGCTTGAGCAAAGAGCACACCCAGGTTTAAGAATCCCTGTTCTTCTGGGGTGGCTCCACGATTTTTAAACAGCAGTCTGCGAACTCCACAAACAAGGGCTCCTGCATGCAGGCTTTCATCAGCTTTGCTTTGTTGTCGCCCTGATCGAGGTTAACCATCAGCTGTCTCAGGTGTGGGTTGAGCAGTAAGCTTCTTAAAGCTGCAGATTCACCTTAAAAATCAATGCCAGCTTTTAAGTTCAAGTGGAACCCATGGCAGGGGCTAAAAGCTAAGTGTTTCCGGTGTAATCAACTATGAGGGGCTTGTATCTCCTTAGCCACCATTCAACAAACACCTTTACTCCCAGCACAGATCTCTGTGAGTTCAAGGCCAGCCTGGTCTACAGGGCTACACAGAAACCTTGTCTCAAAAAAACAAACCTTTTACCACCTGTACCAAATGTGAATTTTTTTCCTTATAACTACACATTAAGTGTTTGCCTCAAGTTAGGTTAGATGACTTCAAGTGCATCAGTTACACGTTTTACAGACCCCCCCCCCCCTTTTTTTTTGAGACAGAGTTCCTCTGTGTAGCTCTGGCTGTCCTGGAACTCACTATGTAGACCAGGCTGGCCTCAAACTCACCACCTACCTCTGCCTCCCAAGTGGTAGTACTACCGTACTATTTTATAAAAGAAACTTGACCGTTGCTGAGAAACAGGTCCTGGAACCAAGCTGCCTTCAACATCAGATGACTGTACCCACAAATTAACTTTCAATATACATGTGAACAAAGACCTGAGCTGGAGAGAGTGTTTGCTCTGCAAAGCACAGGCCCAGTGTTACTATCTCAACATCCACTTAAAGGCAAGCATGGTCCTATGCACGCCTGTAACCTAAACACGTGCAAGGCAGAGACAGGTGGATCACTGAGCCTAGCCAAGGTGTGTGCTCCAGGCTCAATGAGAGACACCGTCTCAAAGGAATGAGGTAGAGAATGACGGCAATTCTCAACGCCTCCTGGAGCCCGTGGCATACACACACACACACAAATGCAATTAACACCAATAACAGAATTCTTTTTTTTTTTTTTTTTTTGGTTTTTCGAGACAGGGTTTCTCTGTGGTTTTGGAGCCTGTCCTGGAACTAGCTCTTGTAGACCAGGCTGGTCTCGAACTCACAGAGATCCGCCTGCCTCTGCCTCCCAAGTGCTGGGATTAAAGGCGTGCGCCACCACCGCCCGGCTAATAACAGAATTCTTACAAGCACCAAAGAAGTGGTGCTACAAAAATGTGTGACTGAGTTAGAGATGGCTCAGTGGTTAAGAACACATATTGCTCTTTAAGAGGACCCAAGTTCAATTCTAGCACCCAAGTTAGGTAACCTATACCTGTGCTCCAGCTCCAGGAGACTGACTCCTCTGGACTCATGTGCATATACCTACAGACACATGCACATAATTCAAATGTGGTGAACACCGTCCTCTCCCTGGTGATTGTCCAGTCTATTTATGACTGCACTGTAAGCTGGGTACTGAAGACAGGTAATACAGGTCTCTGCCCCACAGGCTGCTGTAAAAGGCACAAATCTCTACCACCAATGTGGCTATAGTAGTAAATTACTAGTAAGTCCAAGGCACTAAGGGAAGCTAGAAAAGTGCCTAACCTGAGCCTGAAGGTTGAGAAAGGCTTAGGTACGCAAAGAAAATCAACTATACTTTTAAAGCACAATTATACCAACCTACAAAATCTGTAGGATTCCAATGTTACACCTGGCACGTGCAAGATGGGAGATTTGAAATCATTATGCTGACAGAATCCTGGGGCTGGACAGGAAAGACCCCGCACATCACATTACATAGTAATCTTAGAAACAAGAGCGGCAGAGGCAGGTAGATCTCTGAGTCTGAGGCCAGCTTGGTCTACAGGCAAATGTCAAGTCAACAAGAACTAGATGAGATGGTCTCAAATCTCATTTTATACACATGGAGGTCAAAGATCCCCACTGGGTATCTTCCTCAATTGAAATTGTTCTCCATTTTTATCCCCAAGACAGGGTCTCTCACTATGTAGCCCTGTCTGGAAGTGCTAGGATCAAAGAGCCATGCCATCACTCAGCCTCTACTTTATTCTTTTCCAATACGGTCCCTTACCAATTCACATGGATAGGCTGGCCAACAAAACACTGGGATCCTCCTGCCTCTACCTCCCTAGTGCTAGGATTACAGAACCCAGCTTGCTTGTTTTAAATAGATGTTGGGTATTAAAGTCAAATCATAAATCTTACACAGTAAGTAGTTAATTAAGTCATCTCTCCAGCCCCTCCCCCAAATACCATCCTGGTGTGTTTGTTTTTTGATTTTTCGAGGTGGAGTTTCTCTGTGCAGCTTTGGAGCCTGTCTTCTATAGACCAGGCTGGCCTCGAATTTACAGAGATCCACCTGCCTCTGCCTCCCAAGTGCTGGGATTAAAGGCGTGCGCCACCACAGCCCAGCCCAAATCCCATCTTAAAAAGAGTTGGCAAAATGGTTCAGCAGGTAAAGATGCTTACTGCCAGGCCTGATGACCTGAGTTTAATACTTGAGACAAAAGTTGTCTGATGTGAGATGCCCTATGTATGCTGTGAATACTTTATTACTATTGGTTACTAAAGTTGATTTGGCCAGACAGAATAGTCAGATGGGAAATCCAAGAAAAGTTAAAGGGAAAGGAAGGCGGATTCTGAGAGAGGCTAGCAGCCCCCAGAGAAGCAAGATGTGAGGTAATGCCATGGTCATGTGGCAATACATAGATAAATAGAAATGGGTTAATTTAAGATGTAAAAGCTAGTTAATAATAAGCCTGAGCCATTGGCCAAACAGTTTGTAATTAATACTAATCCCCAGAGTGTTTATTTGGACCGGGTGGGCAAGAGAGAAACCCCCGTTTACAGTTGTCCTGACTTCTGGGTGTGCCTGGAGGAAGGGTAAAGGGTGCAATGGCTCAGCAGTGTCATGCACTTGCTGCACTTGTAAAGAACCTGTGTTCAGGGGGCTGGAGAGATGGCTCAGTGGTTAAGAGCATTGCCTGCTCTTCTAAAGGTCCTGAGTTCAATTCCCAGCAACCACATGGTGGCTCACAACCATCTGTAATGGGGTCTGGTGCCCTCTTCTGGCCTGCAGGCATATACACAGACAGAATATTGTATACAAAATAAATAAATAAATAAATAAATAAATAACCTGTGTTCAGTTCCCACCCATGTGAAGGGGCTCACAACCACCTATAACCCCAGCTCCAGGGGATCCACCGCCCTCTTCTGGCCTCCACCAGCCACTGTACTCAGGTGCACAGAGATATACACAATTTAAAGATAAAGAGGGGCAAGTAAGGTGGCTCAGCAGGCAGAAGTACCTGCCGTGCAAGCCTAGTGGCCTGAGTTTGATCCCCAGAACTCACAAAGGAGACAAGAGACTCCTGAAAAGTTGTCCTTGGAACTGTACTCAAGCCCACACCCACTTCATACACAACAATAACAGCAACTCTGAGTAGGGAAATACAGCATCAGGAGGCAGAGAGGAGGGTGGCAACAAGGCTGAAGCCTAGTGACTTCTAGGCCAGTCGGGACCATACAGTAAGACTGTCTCATCTAAGAAAAGAAGACAGAAAAGAAAATGCAGGAAATTCTGAGCTATCCCAGCCTCCCACCAATATAACTCAGAGACCCACCCACATTCCACACAAAGGAAACAGTGCTGGAATAGTCCTGCAAAGGGAACTCTGCGTGCACCAAGAAAACAAGAGTCATGTGACCTCAGCTTCTTCAAGAATATGGAACTGTTCTTAGAATGTGCTTTCCTGTCCCTCCCATGCGTGGCGCAGAGGAGTGAGTTGACTTCGGATTACTCATTGTATCTAGCTAGTGTTATTTCTTTACATGCCTCTATGGAAAAGCTGCCTCCCGCACTTGTCCTTGTGATTGGACACTTTGCCCAGGTGACAGTCTTAACCCTCAGGGTATAAACTGTCTGGTGCTCTGAATAAAGCTGGCTATTGCATGAGACTGTGGTCTACCTCACATTTAGGCTCCATTCTCCCAGGTTTCACAGCCTGTACAGCAATAAACAACATAAATTAACAAAAACCAAGCCCAGCAAAGACTTACCTAAATTCCTTAACTTCTGCAGAGACACCCTGTCTTCTTCCTCATCACTGTTGAGGAAATCAGCCACAGAGGAGTCATCGTCTGAGGGAAGCAGAAAGCCAGGACAGCCATGGTGACAATGTGTGCGATGGTGAGGATACAGCAGGAGTCAGTCAAAGCCATAAACAGCTTGCTTCTTGTACTTCAAAATTAAACATCCCCTCATGCAGGAAAGAGAAGGTGGTGGAGTGGTGACTGTGCCTAACCAGTGCATGATGGTTCACGCTTCCTGTGGTCTGCTGGCAAGAGGTCTGGCTCTGCAGGTATTTTTTTCTAAGATGTATTTATTATAAAAATTATTTGATTGTTATATAGTGTTCTGCCAGCACGCCATAGGGGGGCACCAGATC